ACACACACACACACACACACACACACACACACACACACACACACACAACTGGAACACACAAAGAGCCAAATCATGACGTCCCAAAACCAGACTTCAAATCAAAGGAATAATAAATATCAGCAAAAAGCACTTTTAAAGCTGAAATGTGTTTAATTGATCAATTGACTGTGCAACATTAAAAAGTTTAATAAAATCATTACATTAAAACACCATTTAAACAGCATAAATCATTACATACTCTGTTTTTTTGTTAAAAAATCATAAAGTGAATGTACATGACGTTCACAGGGTGCCTCCCTTCAAGTCGTCATTAAGTGTCTCATTCTGTAAGATCGTCTGAATTAAAAGTCACCTCAGGAAAAAAAGGCCCACTGAGGGGGAAAAATAAAAAATAAAAACTGATCTCAGTTGTTGGGCAACAAACATTTACTGTAATAAAAAAAAGGAAAACCCTGGCCACATCTATGGGAGTCCCATATGGCACCAAGAGAAAACTGGTTTTAAAATGTAAAAACTAAATGTGCTCCAAATCAACAATAAGTTCCCATCTCTGTGCAAACAACTAAATCCACACTAGATTATTCTAGTGATCACTAATTAATCTGTCAGATACCAAAATATAAATTTATCTTATAAGCATGCTAGAAATGTTCTATCCGGCACGACGAGGAGTTATTTACAGCGAGTGTGTTTACATTTCATGTGTTTCTGTCTACAAGCACTTCTGCTTCAGTGGCAGCTGCACCTGCTTCGAGTCAAACTCGGCTTGAATAATCGGAGACTTGAGCTCCACGAAGTGTTCAAATGGGAACCACGGAGCTGGCAGTGTGCTGGACGTGCAGCACCTTTAACCCTGCAGCCTCCAACACAGCACTATTTATCCAGAGCAGTCCCTCCTGGCAGTGCAAACAGCTCTGCCCTCAGATTTAACCACCTGCTGCACTGAGCAGCGCTCCAACATGATTCTGCCGCTTCAGGTTTGCTTTAAAATGACTCAAACTGGGCACAAATCTGTGCACCTTCTCGTTTAGACGTTCACTGCTTCTGCAGCTTTTATGGCTTCTGCTTGTTAAAAGGCTCCGTTTTTCCCTTTTCCTCCCTAAATAACCAGGCACTGTTTAGTAGCCGCAGTGATTTAAAACTAAATTGTGCTGAACAAATACAGATTAGGAATTACAATCTTCTCACGTGCGCATCTTCTCCTTTCAAGAAAAAGCAGGTTTGGTTTTAGGAGAAATGTCAAAATGTGGAGACCGTCACGAGAAAATTCATTTTTTGCTTTGAAAACTTTGGGTTTACCTGCACCGGTGTTGGGTCAGTGTTGTGTTGCGTTTTGTGTACTGACCACTGGAGGACAACAAGTTGCCAGGATGAGAACATCCCACAGCACTTCAGCTTTGCTCGTCGTGTCATTTTAGCTTGCTTTGCTTCGGGGTCGTAGTTTGCTTCCGCTGCTCTTTGGATGCCGTCGCAGAAGCCGAGGAGGATGTGGAAGAAGAGGAGGAGGAAGAGGATGAACTCCATCGGGTCTCTACGCCCGTGCTAGTCATCTTTAGCTTGCGGCGTTTTGCGAGCGGCGCGTTGTCGACGCTTTTCAAAAAGAAGCCCTCTCTCTTGCCGCGGTTGAAAGCCTGATCAAAAAAGAAAATGAACAGGAAAGCTGAAAACATCTCTTCTAAGAGTTTTTACAAACCGACTGTAAAAAGCTCCTACCTTGTATGTTGCATTGACATAGGTGCGGACTGTGGGCCCGCTGGACTCTAACACGTCTGGAGTGCATAAAGGAGTGGTGGACATGGAGGCCTCGCCTTGCAACCAGCTGTTCTCCTTCAAATCTGAGAGTTTGAGACGACTCTCTGGATCCACGGTCAGCAGACCTTAAATCGTGCAGTGACACGTCAAAACAGACAAAACACAAAAAGCAAAACAACAAGCAAACAAACAAAGCGAAACCTTTAACAAGCTCTTTTGCGTCTTCTGAAACACCCTTCCAGGCGTCTCCGTCCAGTGAGAAGTCCCCCTCCTTTATCTTGTGCATGATGTCGGCAGCGTACGACGAGGTCACCCCACGCTGCTCGCTCTGAAACGGCACCTGTCCTGACAGCATGGTGTACTGTTCCACACACAGAGAACCATCAGTTCACTCCACAGAAACGTGCAGAACAAACGTGCAGAACAAACGTGCAGAACCAACGTGCGGAGGTCAGATTACCAGGATGACCCCGAGACTCCAGAGGTCGCAGGATTTGTCGTAGCCTGCGCTCTCAAACAGCTCCGGTGCTGCGTACTGCAGTGTGAAGCAGGGAGTCTGCAGGGGGGCGCTGCCTGCAGGGCACAGGCGGGCAAATCCAAAGTCTATTACTTTCAGCACCGAGCGCTCCCCCTCGTCTGTAAACAGCACATTCTGGAAGGTAAACAAACACACCGTTCAACACCACACAGCGCTTTGTGAGAGCGTCGCCGTCTGACTGTGATGCAGTCAAACAGGAGTTCAAGCAGAAAGTGACAGCACACCTCAGGTTTAAGATCTCTGTGCACAACTCCAGCCTCGTGCATGTAGCTGACAGCTGAGACCAAGCTCTGGAGCAGCTGACTGGCCTCCGCCTCGTCAAACAGCTTCTTCTTCTTGATCCTCTCCAGTAACTCCCCACCTCGCAGAAGCTCCATCACTAAATATGTGTGGTACTGAAAGAGAAGGGAGCCTGGTTATTTTCAGATTATCGCTCATTACGTGGTGTCTTCTTAAAAGTACAAACAGTTTATAAGATGCTTTGTTGTTGTTGTTTTATTGTAGTTTTATACACTAGTTAAAAACTGCTGCTTAATTTTCACATTAGATTTTTTTTCTTGTTGGATGTTAGGCTGAATGGTAAATTGTCTCTTCGTGTGAGTGAGAGAGTGAATGGTTGTTTGTCTCGTTTGTCTCCATGTGTCCCTGAGATGGACTGGAGACCTGTCTACGGTGTCCCCTGCCTCTCACACAGTGATGGCTGGATATGGACACCAGTGACCCCCGTGATCCAAAAAGGAAGAAGCGAGTAAAGATGATGGATTGATGAAATTCAGCCAGTATCTTAGTGGTGCATTCAGTGACACATGGGTAACTAGAAAGTTCCTGGAGAAACTTGGATGGAGACTGTTGCGTGGTGGCCATTTTAGAGTTTTGTCAGCCGTTTTGAATGAGAAAAATGGCATCTTTGTTTGTGAATTACATTGCCATGTTAACTCAAAACGCCCATAAAAGTAACGGCACACATCACGGGGCCGAGCCGGTCGTTTTGGTATAACATTTGTGGGCGTACGCATTGTGATTTGGTACTCATTGAAGTAGCAGGAAGAGTAAGATATAAAGTTAAGAAACCTTTGTCAGGTGGATAATAACAGGTGGCTGCCTTATAAGACTGTCCCCAATTAAAATGTCCAACTCTTGCCAGGATTAAAGTTATTAATGTTGACAGATATCCCAGCTGCATACAAATCATTACACTAAATGAATACGTGAGTGTTATCTCATTTCTATCTGAAGTTAGAAAATATATACCTGCTGTTAAGTAGTTATAGTTATTAAAAAACAAAATCAGTTCTGACTTTCCACGTTGATATAGGGCAGATGATACAAAACTGGAAAGAATTAAAAATGAAAACACTAAACTGGAATTAGGGGTGCACGATATTATCGGCATGGTATCGGTCGATATTAGCGATAAAGTTAAATATCGGACAGTGGCCATTCCACAAAAATAACTCACCGATATAAAAGGCACTGGTTTTGTATGACAACCCAGTGGCTGTTACTGAATACAGTATATGTCACCAGCTCTTACAACTGTTGCACAATTTTTGTAGCAAATAAGCCTAAATAAGAGGGCTATGTTCTGAAAAAGGAAAGTATATAAAAAAATATTTGTATCGGTTATCAGCCAAATAAGTTTTAACATATCGGATATCGGCCAAAAATCCAATATTGTGCATCCCTAACTGAAATATTTGTGAACGTTTACTTGTAAATATGAATGCCTGATTGAAAAACACATTTTCAAGCCTCAGTAGTATCTGGTATTGGAGCACTTTTCTTTATTCTGAGGTTTTAAGTTGTTAGTGACTTTAAACACCCAAATACAGTATATGCTCTCTTAAGCACAAAGTTATTTTACACAACTATAATAATCAGTTCAGTTATAGATGCTGAACCTTCTGCAGGGTCACCAACATTTCATGAACACAAACATCTCTGACCATTTCAGCAAAATGACATGAAGAAGCATGCATTGTTTTTCTTTTTTTTCATTTACTCTTTATTTATCCAGGTTAGTCTCATTGAACCACGAGAACTCATTTTCAAGAGAGACCTGTTTAGGGAGCAGATGGGGGGTTAAGGGCCTTGCTCATGGGTCCAGAGTGGGGCGAATGAGGGTAGGGGCAAATGTGGGTGCTTCACCTACCCCACCCACATTTATTTTTTTTTTTTTATGTTGTCGGTACCGGGGCGTGAACCGGCGATCAATCGCAGACCCACCTCTCTAGCCTCTGCGCCACCACTCCCCCTCCGCATATTGTTATATAAATATATAATATTGTTCCGCATATACAAACATGCCCACAAAGTTCTGACCAATCACACAATACGCACCGCATAGCCTGTAAGACACAGATCTGACTGAGGGCTATGTACAAAACGGTGCATCAGCGGGTGGTAGGATGGAAGTGATGCAATTTTCATCACGCCCCTACATGTGAGACTTAATAAGACTAGAGGTTTAAGCCAGGCTTTACTGTAGCTTTACTTAACTCAAGTTATTTTCCAGGTTTCCCCTGAATTCCAGAGTTGCTGTTCTGTGTTGCCTATTTTTTACCTGATCAGTGTAGACGTCATACAGCTTCACGATGTTGGGGTGAGCTTCACACTGCCTCAAGGCAGCAATCTCTCTCTGAGTATTTGCCTCCATTCTAACAAAGGGGAAAAAATCAAACATCCAGTGTTAAAAGGGCCTTTATGTGACGTGATAACAGCAGAGTATCAGACAGTCAATAAATACCAGCACAACCATCATTTAGCTGCTTCACATCTCCACTCACCTGCGGCTGACGATTTTCACAGCGTACTCGTGGCCACTTTGTTTGTGTCTGCATTTCCTGCACACCGAAAAACTCCCCTCACCAAGAGGCGGGCTCTGGAAATCCAGTTCATAGTGCAGGAAAAACTGGGATTCCTGAACAAACAGGGAATAGAGACATTTTAATGTTCGACATGACATCTAGATACACACTAAGGACATGGACTTGATATTTATTTAGTCATTAGATCATGATAAAACACAAAATGCATTGTCATTTGTTTCCCATTAATACAAGCATTACACTGATGTCCCCTGTCGCTGAGGGATTTAACCTCCTAAGATCCAACTCTTGCATATGTGGATGCCTGGTCCTAGGAGGTTAAATAGTGAATGTTTGTAGTTTTTATTATGAGTTTTTCTGGACTGGAACTGAACAGGGACTGCAAGTAAACCATAATGTTTTTGGTGCAATGTTCAAGTGTGTAGGAGTTACAGTGGTGCTGGAACGTTTGTGAACTCTTTGTAATTTTCTATATTTCTAAATAAATGACCAAAAACATCATCAGATTTTCACACAAGTCCTAAAAGTAGATAAAGAGAACCCAGTTAAACAAATTAAGACAAAAATATTATATTTGATCATTTATTTATTGAGGAAAATGATCCAATATTACATATTTGTGAGTGGAAAAAGTATGTGAACCTTTTCTTTCAGTACCTGGTGTGACCCCCCTGTGCAGCAATAACTAAACATTTCTGGTAACTGTTGATCAGTCCTGCACACCAACTTGGAGGAACCTGAGTCCATTCCTTCGTACAGAGCAGCTTCAACTCTGGATGTTGGTGGTTTCCTCACATTAACTGCTGCTTCAGGTCATTCCACAACATCTGGATTGGATTAAGATCAGGACTTAGACTTGGTCATTCCAAAACATGAACTTTATTCTTCTTGAACCATTCTTTGGTAGAACATCTTGTGTGTTTGGAGTCATTGTGTTGCTGCATGACCCACCTTCTCTTCAGATTCAGTTCATGGACAGATGTTCTGACATTTTCCTTTAGAATTCTCTGATATAATTCAGAATTCATTGTTCCATCAATGATGGCAATCAATGATGGCAACCTGTCCTGGCCCAGATGCAGCAAAACAGACCCAAACCATGACAGTACCACCACCATGTTTCACAAATGGGATCATGTTCTTATGAAGGAATGCAGAGTTTTCCTTTCTCCAAACATAATTCTTTTCATTTCAACCAGTGGTGTCAAACTCACTTACAAAAGAGGGCCAGAATTAAAACTTTTTTCAAACTAAGGGTCAGTTTCAGAATCTACATTAACTCAAGTTAGATACCCAACATCTTTTCTTGGTTGCAGGTTCCTCAAAAAGAAATTGATTGTTCTCATTTGACTTTCTCTGTTGCACTTTTGACATCATAATCAAACATTACTGAAAAAAATTAAAGCGATAAAAGTATTTTACATTTAAAATATCATCTTGTGGGGCCAGATAAGACTGAGAGCCACATTTGGCCCCCAGGCCTTGTGTTTGACACATATGATTAAACCATAAAGTTCTATTTTGGTCTCATCCATCCACAAAACATTCTTCCAACAGTCTTCTGGCTTGTCCATGTGATCTTGATCAAACTGCAGATGAGCAGTCATGTTATTTTTAGAGAGCAGTGGTTTCTCCTTCAACCCTGCCATGATCACCATTGTTGTTCAGTGTTCTCCTGACGGTGGACTCATGAACATCAACATTAATGTGAGAGAGACCTTCAGTTGTTACAAGTAACTCTGGGCTCCTTTGTGACCTCACTGACTATCCCACACCTTGTTCTTGAAGTGATCTTTGTTGGTCCACCACTCCTGGGGAGGGTAACAATGCTCTTGAATGTCCTCCATTTGTGCACAACCTGTGCGACTGTGGATTGGTGGAGTCCAAACTCTTTACAGATGTTTTGTAACATTTTCCAGCCTGATGAACATCAACAACTCTTTTTCTGAGCTCCTCAGAAATCTCCTTTGTTCCTGCCATGATCCACTTCCACAAACGTTGTGAAGAGCAGACTTCACAATTTTACTGAAGCAAAGTGTAACAATATCCTGATGCATGCTCAATAATCCAGGTAGAAAAATCCAAAAAAGTTCAATCTGGTCCTCTGGACATTCAAAAAAACAAAACAAAGCAAAAAATTGTAGAAACGTTTTGTCTCTCATCCGAGAGACTTCCTCAGTCTGAGGTGCTGTATTCAGCTCAGTCTCTTAAATAGCACCTTCTCAAACTGGTTGATCCAC